AAAATAAATTAAAGATTAAAATTCATAATATATTTAAAAAAAAATATATAATATTTGTAAAATAAAAATAAAAAAAAAAGTTAATTTAAAACAAATATATATTTATTATATAATAAATAAATTAATTTATAAATATTTAAATAAATATATAAAATAAAAAAAGAAAATAATAAATTATAATAATTAATATATTATTATATTTTAAATAATGCAAGAAAAATAATAATAATAATTATAATTATGATAGTTTAAAAATAATAATATTAATAAAATCAATAAAATCAATAATAATAATATTAATAATAATAATAAATATATAACAAAAATAAAAAATTCTATAAAAATATATAAAAAATAGTTTAAAATCCTAAAAACTATATAAAGAAAACAAATAAAAATATATTATTGATATTAGCAATAAAAATTTAATTATATATTATATAAAAATAAATTAAAATATTAATTTAGATTTAAAAATTTATTTAAGTTTAATTATAATTAATTAAATTATAGAATAAAAAAATTATTAGTTATATTTTTCTAATCATATTATACTATAGTTTATAATTTAATTTGAAATTAAAAACATTTTTCATAATTTTATATTTATAGAAATAAAAATAAATATTTATAATTTTTATTTCAATAATATAATAAAAAATTGTAATCTAATTTTATATTAAATCTATAAACTATATTATCAGTTATTTATTAAATATATTTTATATATATAGACAATTAAAAAAAACCAATAAAATATATTAAACATTTATAATTTATAAATATATTATTATAGTTATTAATATAAATAATTATAATAATAATAATTATTTATTAATTTTAATATAAATTCTAGTTAAATATTTTTTATTAAAAATTAATTTATTTAATAATTTTTTTGTTTAAAAAAAATGAAATATAAACTTTACTATTCTTTATTATTTTTTATAAATTTATTAAAAGAATTTTTTATTTACATTTTTTTTTAAATCATTTAACTAATAACTAAAGTTTTATATTTTTGTATTTTATTTAAAATTTTTAAAAAATAAACTAATTATATTTAATCATAATTAATTTTCTTATTTTTAATCATAATCTAGTATAAAAATTTATAAAAATAATATATGTTTATATTTTTACTTTCTTTATTAGTTTTATAAATTTAAAATTTATAGAATTTTTTAGTTCATATAATTAAGAACTTATATTACTTTAATTTACAATTAGTTTATCTGATTTCAAATCTATATAAGGCTTTATATCATTTACAGTAATAAATCTACTTTATTTTCTATGTTATTAATATATTGAATTATTTTAATGTTTTTAATTATTGTGTTCTATTTACAATTATTAATTATTTTAATATCTTACAAAAATTTCCTTTTATATATTTAAAAAAGATGGGACTATATACCTTGCACATGATTATTTGAAATTTTTAAATAAATTTTAATTTTTAAAAGGATTTCTACTTTTAAGAAACCAAACTTTTTTTAAATATTCATTTGTAGTAATATTTATTAAAATAAGAAAATTATGAAAAATATACAATCCTAATACAAAAAAAAAGTCTGTTTTTTTTTAAAAAATTATATATATTTAAAATAATATATTTACTATAAATCCTAATATAACACATATAATTGAAATAATATGATTTTTAGGTTCATTTAAAGATAATATTTTTAAATTAAATATTATTGTTGTAAAAAGAAGAAATATTAAATTCATTAAAAATAAATAAAAGTATCTATATTTTAAATTATATATATGTAATATAAATATATAAATATATAAATATATAAATATATAAATATATATATATATATATATATATATATATATTTTATTTATTATTAAAAATAATTACCTATAATTCCTTTTCCCTATACAAGAACCTATCCAAGGACAATGATGGTCAAATCTTTCCACACAATTATTACATATATAACAATGTGAAGTTCTAGGAGGACGATATAGTGCACCTTATTTCTTTATTTAAAAAAAAAAAATTATTATATTTTTTACATATTTTGCAATATTTAATTCTTAAAAAATGAGTTTTATTCATTGCTAAGAATTCTTTATTTCTTCGGCGTTTATTCTTTTATATTTATAATGGAATTTGTAGGTTTTCTTTTTCTTGTTCATATTGTTAGTTCTTTTTAATTTAAGAAATTATTAAGTAAAATTGCTTTATATACTATTTTAGGAATTATACCAGGATCCACTAAGCCCAGAATTATATAAAATATATTACTTAATGTATGAAATAATACTGTAAGTAATATAAATACTGTATTTTCTTGCTTATTTAATAAATACTTTTAAAATTTTTAAAATAATTTAATGTATATTTTAATATATGTACTTAAAATTCTTCATAATAATTTAAAATTTAAAATATATTTATTAAAAAAAATGTTCCTAAATAATTATGTATTTAGGATCTTTTTTTTCATTTTAAAGTAAATAATTTATTATTTTATTTTTATTTTTAAAGATTTATTATCTATTATTTTAGTTTAAAAGTAGTTTTACCCTGTATAAAAGTGCCCATAACATATTATTATATATTTTTAATTCCAATATTATGTTAAATTATATTTGACTAGATTAATGGAATATAAATAATTTTACTTATATATCATAAATAAAAAAATTATTAAATCTTTTATTTATTATTAAATATGATATATTTTATTTAATACTTATTTTTAAAAATAAAGATTTGTTTTTATTAAAAGACAAATAGAAAAATTATGAAAAATATAAATAAATATAATTGATAAATAATAAAATTTATTTAATTAAAATCTTTAACAAACAATATCATAAAATATTAAAAAAAAAAAAGGTAGTCTAAAATTTAAATATCTAAACTAAAAAGTTAAAAAACATTAACCATTATAAATAATTATGTTTAAAAAAATTATTAAAAATAAAATAAAATATAGTAATAATTTTATTTAAATAAAATTAGAAACTATGTAATTATTAATTATATATTATTATATAAATAATTTAAAAAAAATAATAAATTAAAATACAAAATATTTGTCTTAAATAAAAGCATATAAATAAATATATATATATATATATATATATATATATATATATATATATATATATATATATATATTTATCTTTCATTATTGTATTTTATGTTTTTTTCCTTTTTTTTAAATAGCGTCATTTTAATATCCATATAAGTTTTCTTATCTTTTTAATTAAATATCTTAATCAACAACAATTTCATAATTCTATTATTTTATTTTATTAGTTTATTATTAGTTTTATTATTCTTAATTTTCAAAAAAATTAGCAAAAATATACCAAATAAATACGCTTAAAAGACATATAGTTATAAATATTATTGCATAAATACCTAGAAAAAAATATAATTAATACATATTAATTATATTTTTAATTTTTTTATTTAACTTATATTATCTGTAAATTTAATTTTTTTTTCTTAATTGATTAAGTTTTACAAATTTTTTAAGCTTTTTTCAAATCCTTCTTTTTTTTAAGCATTTTATATTATTTGTGAATTTTAGTTCATTTTTGAAACTTTTATATTTAAGTTTTTACATTCTGCTTTAGCCAATACTATTTTTTAGTTTTCTCTATCAAATAAGATATCATAATTTTCGAAAAAATTAACTCCAAAATGAATTCGATTATCTAATTCATTTTCGTTTAATATAAATGAGAAAGTAAATAAATTTGTTTAGTCTTCTTTTTGAAACAAATATTGACTAGGTTTCCATTACATATTTATATTTGGATAGAATAAAACTTATATAATAGGAAATGTTTAATAAAAATCTTCTATATTTTGATAAAGTGTCCTATTAAGGGCAAATTGAGTTTAATTTAATTTTTCATTAATTTTTCCAGCACATTTATTTATACAAGATAAATTAATTTATTAAACTAAAAATCTATTTTTTATTTTTTTTTTAAAAAAAAATAATAAATATTAAAAAATTATTTATTTTTAAACTCAAAAATATCTTTATTAACTATTACAAATTTTGTCGAAAAATCAAAAACAGCATTTGGAACATCTTAGATTTCTTAATTTTAATAATTAATTAATTAACCAAACTAAATGTAAAAATTTTTATATAAATATGTACATAAATATATATATAATATTTACTTAAAAATCAGTAACTGAAACTGTATATTGTCTTTCAATTACTTTAAATGGCAGAATTATATGTTATTAATTTTATATATGAAATTCATAATTAAATCCTCCTAAACTTAAAAATCCTTCTTTGTCTTAATTCAAACATAGAGAAAATGTCAAGTTTTATTAATTATTTAAATAATCTAACCAATGTGTTTCGTTTTATTAACTTTCTCCTAATCCTAAATAGCCATCATGAGTATTATTTTATGTGTCTTTTTCAAGGCATACTAGCTCGGTTTTTATTTCTTATTAGTTTTCTATATCTGAACCTAATTTTATTATATCTTTGATAAAATAACCTTATTAATCTGATTATTTCCATTAACATTTTTCACTTTATTCACATGTGTTTGCACAATTTTTTTTTTAAAAGCATTTTAAAATTTCTCTTGTTTTTAGATTATTTTCTTAATGGCATTATATTTAAATATAGGAATTATTTTAAGCTAAAATCAAAGGTTAATTTTAGGAAGAAGAGGCTATATAAGAATTTATCCAATAATAATTTATGGTATTATTTGTTATGACTTAGTATGAATTGAGTCTATTGAAATATAATTATAGATTTTCTTAAGAGTTAAATAATTTTAGTAATATTTAAAATATAAATAGATATTTAATAACTAATATCATGTTTTTTTTATTTAAGATATAAAAGTAGTTTTTTAAAAATATTTATAAATATATAAAGTATTTTATAATATAAAATTATATATGTATCTATTTATATTTTATTAAAAAATATATTATATTTAAAAGATATTTATTTTAATATTTTATATTAATTTTTTCAGCTTAGAAAGTTTTCAATATCATCTATATTATTAGGCTTTATACTCCAAAAATTGAATGTATTATATTCTTCTGAAATTATCTCTTCGTTTTCATTTAAAGGAGGAAAAACAATATCAACCATATCATTTAACATTTAATATCTTTTTATTTAATTTAATTTTATTTTATTTTTTTTAAAAAAAATTAATTTTATATAATAAAATAATAATAATATATATATAAATTAAATTAAAACGATTTTTTAAAAGTATTATTGAACTAATATAACTCTCCTGCAGGATTAATAATATATATTTTTTATATACTTATACCGACAGATCTATAAGCAATAGCGTCCTTTTTTATAAATAAAATTATGTATATATATATTTATATATTTGGTAATATGTTATTAAATAAAATAATAAATTTACATATATATTTATATAATATTTTAAAATTATATATATCTTATTAAAAAATTATTATAAGTATATCTATTAAAATTAATTTATTTTATTATAAATACTTAAAAATATTATATATAGTTATATATATTTTTATATTTCTATATATAAAAATATTTAAATATATATATATATATATATATATATATATATATATATTATATTTAATAATTATATGTTTTTATTTTATAATTACAGTTTCCCTATTTCCAAATCCTGCATAATATATATTTTAATTTGGAAAAATAGATTATATTTCTCTCAAAACCTAAATTTTAAAAACATCTGGTTTTTTATCAATAACTTCTCTTTTAAAAGATGGTAGAAGTCTATCAGAGGATGTAATAACAGGTCCACAAGGTAGATTCTTATTTGCTTACTTTAAATTTTTTATAAAATTTCTTGTAGATTCTGATTAACCTATTGCCCTAGCTGTCAAATAAAGTATTTTATAACCATTTTTAATACAATTTTAATATAAACCAATAACATATTAATGAGACCAATCTTTATCTACTAAAGGCATAATTTGACCGAGCACATCTGATTTAGTAATAGCACCATCTATATCTGAAATAATAATTTATACATTATATGGCCAGAGGAAAATACGGCCTTCTACATTTTATTAACCTTATAATTAAGTACTTACTGTATAATTTATTTTATTAACTCCTGGTTTTAAATTAAATGACTTTAAAATTTCAGATTTAGGCTTATAAACTTTCCTTATTCTAGCTTTTTCAAAAGTAGGGCTATAATCACTTTAAAAAGACATAACATCATCACTTTATTTTCTATTATTTGCAGAATAAGGAGAATTTTGAGGTGATTTTTCTAATTTATGATCTTAATTAATATTTTTTTAATTTTCAAGTGTATTTTTTTGAGTTTCATTAACATTTTCTATATTGATTTTCAACTATTCTTTTTTTTATTATGTTGTTGCCCTTTTCCAAAAAAAAACATCGAAAAAAGACTTTTTTTTAGATTTCATTAAATTCTGTAAAATTTCATCAGAAATATTTTATTTAAAGCAAAGTCTGCTTAATAATATAACTGAGGCTACATCCCAAGGATACAAATGATCTTTGATTTAAGAAGAAGATTTTTATCATTTAATATCTAAAAATTAAATAAATATAAAATAAATAATATATATATATATATATATATATATATATATATATATATATATATATATATATATATATTATAAATCTACTTTTGCAGGATCTTATATAAATTATTCAAATGTAACTTTTTTACTTTTAAATAATTCATATAGGTCTATTTCTTAATCTTTTTTAAATGTAATGTTTCCACATAAAGACATTCCAATTTCTTCTTCATCTTCTTCTTCTTCGTCTTCTACTTCTTCTTCTTCTTAGTCATCTATTTTTTTTTCTATATTTCTTTTTTTTTCATCTTCTTTATTATCTGAATTAGGTTATTAACTAATATTATTTAAGTTTTTTTATGTTTATTATTGTTATATTTCTTGTTTATTTTATATATTTTTGGCTGATATTTTGTCTTTAGAGGAATTTAAATTTTCTTATTTAGCAGAAGAGTCTCTTTTAAAATTTTCTTATAAAAAAAGTTTTTTTTATTATAAATTTTCTATTATTTCGTCCATTTATTATTTAACTTCTTTTATTTAAATATTTTTTTCGTTTAGTTTTTCTTAAATGTTTTTTTTTTCAATAGAATTATTCTTTGGTTTTTAGTCATCCGAATTTTCTATTTATGCTTTGGTTTATTTAAATTCTTCCTTTTTTAAAAAATTTTCTTATTTTTATGTTTCTTCCTTTTTTGATTAAATAACATCTTGCTTTATTATTGTTTACTCTTTTTTTTATTCTTCTTTATTTGTTAAAATTTAATCTTTAGATAATTAAATATCTTCCTTCTTTTATAAAATCTCTTCTTTATTTAATGAAATTTCTTCTTTTTTTAATTGTATTTCTTCTTTTTTAGCTTCTTCTTTTTTTATTTCTTCTTTATTATTTTCTTCTTTTTTAATTGATATTTCATCTTTTTTTAATTCTTCCTTTTATTTATTACCAAAAAGACCAAATAAATTCATGAAATTTTTTTCTTGCTTTTTTTCTTTTTCTTTTTAAGAATTTTAAATTTAATTTTTGTCATTTAAAATTGTAAGATTCTATTCACTTTTTTTTTTTACAGATATTTTTTCATCATCTGATAAAGGATAAGGTTATACTTTTATATAATATATGTATATATATATATATATATATATATTTATATATTTTTTTATTTAGCATATGTATATTTTTTTCTTTATATAAATATACTATCTAAATCTGAAAATTCATCTTAAGACATTAAATGTATATTTTAACTTTATTTATCTAATTATTTTTCCTCTCTCTTTTTTTATATCATATTTAAATAATTTCTTTTATACATAGAAATAAATTTACTATTTCTTCAAAATATGCTGCCCCAGTAGAATCCATTTTCATTGTTATATTTTGTAAAATATCATTAATTTTTATTGATACTATTTTCTCATTGCTCCTTAATACCTTTAATATTCCAAATCTTACATGGAAGGGCGTTGATTTTAATGAACCATCTTTTTATTCTACTACAATTATATCTACACATCCACTTAATGTGGACTTTTTTATATTTACTTTATTTTTAAAACATATATTTTGTTATATTAAATACTTGGTTTATGTCAAATACTTGCTTTATTTTATCAATCATTTTTTTCTTTAAATAAAAATAAATACAATTTTTTTTTTTTAATTATAAATAAATATGTATATTTTTTTTGAAATTATTTAAATTAAAACATATTTATTTTTTTAATAAATATCCAAATGATTTAATAATTTTATAGATATTTTTTTTTATAAAATAAAAAATTTCAATGAATTATATATACTATAAATTAAAATCAATAAAAAATAAAAAAGTATTTAAATCTACTAAAATAAAATAAAAAAAAAGCATGCATATCTATTTATACAATCTGATAAAAAATTTTATATTTTACAAACAAAAAATTAATATTATTTTCATTTTTTTTTAAATTTATCGAAATAATTTTTAAATTCTTAATTTTAATTTAATTCTTGATCTTCTATTTCATCTTCATGTTCAATGTCTTCAAAATCGTCATCATCATCTTAATTATCTTCAATATCAACTTAATATTGCTAAAATTATTCAGTGATTATTTTATAAGACTAGAATAATTTAAAATAACAATTTGTTAATTAATTTTTAATTTAATCATCTATATATTAATATTAAGGGATTATATTTCTAAAACATTCCTTATATATTTTATTAAATAAAAATTCGTAATTTTAAAAATCTTAAATTGCTTATTCTTATTATTATTTACTAAAATTATTATTTTCCATTTTTATATAATTATATATTAAATATATATAAAATTTTTTATGTTTTTTTTATTTTTAATTATATAATTAAAAAAAACTTATTTTCAATAAAATAAAAAAATATAAAATAAAATTTAAATGTCGACAATAAGAAAACCAAATAAATAAATGTATGATTTTCATACTTTATTTTGGAAAAAAATCGAGGAAGAACTTCGAATTTTTACTCTTTTAGAAAAGCGTCCTAAACGCGAACTTCCTCTATATGAACTTCGTCCTGACGATTTAAACATAGATTTATAAAAAGTAAAATAATGGAGTGAATAAACTGAATAAATATATAATTAATTACTAGAAAATGGTTACGCGGATTTTATTTGCAATAAAGAATACCTTCGGGAGGTATTTTTAGACTTAAAATTTAATAGATAATATATAAATTGTATGGACAAAGAACTTTTAAACTTAAAGAATTTGAAAATATTAGAATTAAATTAAAATTTAATCACCACTATAGAAAATATACCACCTTAATTATTAGAATTGCATTTATTTTAAAATCACATTTCTCAGATTTCTATTTAAATGAAACCTTCAAAAAGCCTCCTTTTCTTAGGTTTAGGCTTTAATAAATTAAATGATAATTAGATTACTAATATACCTAAGTTTTTCCCTAATTTAGTCTGTTTAGATATCTCAAATAATCTTTTAGAAGATATATAAAACTTACTTTCCGTAGTTTGCAATTTAAGTAGTTTAAAAATGCTTTGCGCATATGGAAATCCTATATGTTTGCTTTCTAATTATAAAAAAGGACTAATTCATGCCTTAATAAATCTAGAATACTTAGATAACGAAAAAATCATAAAAGGAGAAATAATAGAGGATGAGAAAATATAATAATAAATATAAGAAATTCCCGAAGAAAGCTAATTAGACGAAGCTGCGAATACATAAATTTTATAAAATTAAATTTAATAATATTCAGGAAAATCTTAAAAATAAATAAAAATCCGTTTTAAAATTGATACATTAGAAAACCTACCTGAAGGTATAGTTTTAGATAAATAAGCTTTCCCGAAAGCCGAATAATTCCCTGAATAATTTCAAACCTGTTATTATTGCATTTTTGAGCTTCCAAACGGTACATTAATAGATACTAGGCCCAAAGTAATAGAAAGAATGCATAAAATAAGGCTAATGAAGGTCAATGAAAGACTATAAATTATTTAAACTTAAGAGGAAAATAGTAAAAAGGAACTTTTAGCATAATAAAACTAATAGACTGCAAATAAAAAAGGGGCAAAACCTGTTGCTAGTAATAAAAAAGAGGCCAAATTTGAAATTCCTTCGGAAATTCCTGAAATAAACCATAATTTGACTGGCAAAGCTATTTCTGAGGAAATTTGTAAGGACGAGGATTATTTTAGATTGGATATGAAAGTTGATTTTATAGAAGAATTTCCGGTAAATATTTAAACTAAAGAAATGCTTAATAAAGGTATTATTTGTAGAATTTACAAAACTGAACCTTTAATGGAAAATATAGAAAATTAGGAAGAAAAATAGGTCAAAATAGACCCATAGACTGGTTTTCCTGAAGAGAGTACTGCTTTTGTGGGTTTATTTAGGCTAGATTTATAAAAATGGAACTCAGATGGGAATATGCCGAAGGTTTTGAAGTATAAGTACCCTATTTTTGAGGAAAATATACTGAAAGTGCCTGAATTTTTCTTTCCTATTGAAAATGAGTAGAAATTGATTAAAAAAAATGCTGAAAAAATTAATTTAATGCTAAAATAACAAGAAGAGTCTGAAAAACCAATTGAAACAGAAGTTCTAGATCCTAAAAAAAAAGATAATAAAAAAAAAGAAGTAAAAAAACAAGATAAAAAACCTTAAAAAAAAACAGGAAAAGATGAAGAAAAACCAAGAGTTGTACCCATTTCAAGTTTTCCGGTTTTTTAGAGATAATAGGTTTTTGTGGATGTTGACAATATTTATTTGTCTTTAAGAAAATGGCTAGTGGCAGCATAAATGGAAATTGTTTAATGAATTATATATATATTTGTTATATTTTGTTAATCTATTTTATTTAAGTTTTATATATATATACTTTATATTTTTATATAATACAATTTATAAATAGATTAATAAATTTAATTTTTATGTATTTATTTAAATAATTTATTGAAATTAAAATAAAAAATAAATTAAATATAAATATAAATATATATATTTATATATAAATATATATATATATATATATATATATATATATATAAATATATTAATTATTATTATTAAAAATTAAATAAATTTTTATATATCAAATGATAATTGAATATATAAATTTTTTCTAATTTAATAGAATATAATATATATATATATAAAAAAAAGCAAAATAAATAGTATAGTTTATCATTATTTCACACAATTTTATTCATGGATAATCCAATGATTAATAACATCACTAATTAATTAATTATTATATTATTTATCATCTAAAAACTAATATTCATAAGTATCCAAAACAAAGCATTTTTTTTCCGTATCAAAAGTAATAATAGCCTCTCCATATTCTTAAGTTTTTAACTTTTCATTTTAAACTACATGTATGTATAATCTTTTAAATTAAAGTTCGTAATTAAAGCTAAGCTTTATAGTTTATTCATTACAAACTCTTTCCAAATCTTTCACTACTTTTTAAAATAAAGTTAAATCATGAATTTAATGCTTAATGTATTAAATAACTGAGTTTTTATCAAGTTTTTTGTACTAATTACCTGTCTAGCAATTATGTATATTAATAGATATATTATCTATATTATTTATACAAATATTGCTTACTGCATTTTAATTATGAGCCATTTACTTTGGTATATATTATTATTGGTATTGAGAATATTATTATTATTAATAATAATCACTATTGTTCTCCATATAATTAGTATTATTATTATTTTAAGCAAAAACTGGAGGTGGAGGTGCTATTTATTAATTATTTTTTTAACTTTAATGTTTTTAATTGCTTGCAAAAATTGGTGATTGAATATTAGTAGGAGCTGGTGGAGGTGCGGGATGATCTTAATAGTGTATATTTTCACACGGAGGATATTATTATTGGTGCTAAGTGAGTATCTTTATGAATTAATTATCTGTATTTTCCTAGTCTTTTAAATGATCCATTATGTATTTTTTATTTATTTGTTCGGGGGTAATTTCTTAAGATAAGTGGGAGTTTAGTTAATGTTATAAAGGACGTTTTTAGTTAAGGGATTTTGGGTCAGCTTGAATATTGGAGTTGTTGAGGTGGTTTATTGGTGGAGGTTGGGTAGTATTTTATGGGTAATTTTATGGATAAGCCATATATTGGTTGGCTTGGGAAGATTATTATGGTTAGCCATGATGGAGAGGAGTGTTTTAGGGGTATTAATGAGGGTTTTTTATTGGGTATTGATGTTATGTTTATTATACTTTTGATTATTATGAATAATATTGTTGTTATTGTTATGGAGTTTATTATTAGTTAGGGCGATATTAAGTAGGGTTCGGGATGAATTGTTGCTATGGTTATGGGGGAATTTATTGTGGTGGTTATTATGGGGGAATTTATTGTTGTTATTATGGGGGTTATTTTGGAGGAATTATTGGAGGATTTACTTATTGTTATTAAGGTGGTGGAGGTGGCTATTTTAGATTTTATTGTTAAGGTTATTATTAAATGTAATTTTGCTAGTTTTAGAATTATTATTATTATTATTATTGGTTTTAAAATTATTATTATTGTGGGATATTTTAAGGAGGATATTGCTATGACTATTAAGATGTTTTTAAATATTATTATTAAGGTTGTTATTGTATTTAATTCTATTGTTAAGGTTATTATTGTATTTAATTTTATTAAATTTATTGTTATTATATTTAATTTTATTAGGATTATTATTATTATTATTGCTACTATTATTATTGTTATTATTATTATTATTACTATTATTATTATAATTAGTATTGTTTTTATTAATTTTAGTATTATTCATATTTTTTTTATTAAATGTATCTTTTTCTTTTATCGTAGTTTTTATTTATCACAAATTCATTAATGGTATTATCAATATAGGTATTTTCTAAAAAATTTACTAAACAATTAAATTAATCTTGGATTAATGTTATTTCATCAATAGGAATTTTTTCAATATTAAAATTTTAAGGGGTTCGGGTACTTTCAGGAATTTATTATACTTATTATGCTTATTGCATTTATTATACTTATTACACCTATTATACTTATTATACTTATTATACTTATTATACTTATTATGCCTATTATACTTATTATACTTATTATACTTATTATGCTTGTTATACTTATTATACTTGCTATACTTATTATGCTTATTATACTTATTATACTTATTATACTTGTTATATTTATTATACTTATTATACTTATTATACTTATTATACTTATTATACTTATTATACTTATTATACTTATTATACTTATTATACTTATTATACTTATTATACTTATTATACTTATTATACTTATTATGCCTATAATGCTTATTATACTTATTATGCTTATTATACCTATTATACTTATTATACTTATTATACTTATTATACTTATTATACTTATTATACTTATTATATTTATTATATTTATTATACTTATTATGCCTATTATACTTATTATGCCTATTATACTTATTATGCCTATAATGCTTATTATACTTATTATGCTTATTATACCTATTATACTTATTATACTTATTATGCTTATTATGCCTAAAATGCTTATTATACTTATTAAGCCTATAATACTTATTATACTTATTATACTTGTTATACTTATTACACTTATTATACTTATTATACTTACTATACTTATTATACTTATTATACTTACTATAATTATTATACTTATTATATTTATTATACTTATTATACTTATTATAATTATTATACTTATTGTACTTACTATAATTATTATACTTATTATATTTATTATACTTATTATGCCTATTATACTTATTATACTTGTTATACTTATTATACTACTTATTATACTTATTATGCTTATTAGAGCTATTATACTTATTATACTTATTATACTTATTATGCTTATTACACTTACTATACTTATTAAGCTTATTAAGCTTATAACGCTTGCTATACTTATTATGCCTATTACACTTATTATACTTATTATATTTATTATTTTTATTATAATTATTATACTTATTATATTTATTATTACTGTATAGGGATTTATTTATCTATTTATGATAAATTTTAGCCTATAGAGTTTTTTTTATTTTGCTATTTTGGGTTTTGTTAAGTATTTCTTTAGTTTTTTTTAACAATTTCTTATTCTTATTTTGTTATAGGCTATTATTTTATTAAATTTATTCTAACTTATTCAGTTTCTTATAACTCTAATGCGTTTAATTCTTTTAATTTATTTTATTATTGTAGTTATTATTATTATTATTATTATAGTTATTATTACTATTTTAAAGATTATGCTTAATTAGGGTTAATTTAATATTATTTTTATAAAATAGTATTTTGAGGTATTTACTATTATTATTAATTCTATCTATTAGTGAAATTTTCCATTTAATTTGTTTAAATATTAATATTTTCTTATTTTAAATTATTATGAGTGTTTTGAGGGTATTCTTATCCTTCTTATTATATATAATTTGGATAAATTTAATTTTTTTGTTAAAAATTATTATCGTATTATATAGATTATGGATTATTTTATTCATATTTAAGATTAATATTTCTGTTTTTTATTTATTAATTTTATTGATTTTATATATTTTAAGAATTTAAAATTTGATTTTAACCCACTTGTTATTCGAAATTATGTTGTGTGTTTTTATAAAATTATTATTATTATTATTATTATTACTATTATTGACCTTATTATTGAGCAATAAGTTATTAGTTTTATTGTTATTAAATTTGTGGATTATTGTATTTATTATATTAATAATTTGTGCCAAATTATTAATTTTCAGTATTTTATTATTATTACGGCTATTTTTATTATGAATATATTTATTATTAATTTTAACTTTAATTTTAAGCAAATTATTAAGGATTATATTATTATTAAGGAATTTATCCTTAAATTATATTTTATTATAATTATTGTTAAGGCTATATATATTATTATTGTGATTATTATTATTTTTAACTTAATAACTATTGTTAATATTTCTATTACATTTATTACCTTTAATATTACTAATAATCAATTTAATTTGTTTAAATACTCTGATTTTATTCAAGTTATTAAATATTTTTATCAAAACTTGTATTCCTTTTATCCCCTAATTGTTATTATTAATTATTTCTTTACATTTGTATTTATTATTGTTAATATAATTATTATTATTCAATGTTTCTTTATTTAAGTTTTTCAATGATCATGTTTCCTAGTTATATAGCTTTTTCGTTATTATCGAAAATTTATAATATTTTTTCAAAATCTTAAGAGATTATATCTTTTTATTTAGATATTAAAGTTCTAGCAATATATTCAAAAAAAGAATTTTTAATATTTTCTTCAACAATGAAATTTATTTCTTTAAATCTTTCTTTTACTATATTTAAAATTAATAATTCTTGGCTTAATTTTTTATTCCTTTCCGGTTTTAGGATGTCGTCGAATATTTATTACATTATCTATACTCTCTATTTAGAACTATTTTCTTAATTATAATAATATAAAAATTAGTATTTAAAATAATGTTTCATTAGTTCATATCTTTTTATTATGAAATTTATATTGTTTTCTTGGATTTTTTCTAAAAGTTCTTTTGATTTTTTATCTATAATTCCTTAACTTATAATTTCTTATTACATAATAATTTTTATTTTACTTAATTTTATTTTTAGTGCTTTTTTTATATAAATAATATTTTTTAATTAATTTCTAAAAATAATATTTAAATATTATACTTAGGATTTAAAATAAATATAATATATTATTATTTTTATTGATTAAAATAAAATTATATGCCTCATAAATATATTTAATTTAATAATATAAATAAATAAATAAATAAATATATCAAAAATATATATTTATAGATATATATATATTAATATATATTCCAATTTATATCTTTTTAGACATCAAAAATATAAAATATAAAATTAAAATTAATTTTATATTTTAATTAATTTAATTCTTTTTCTTACTTAATTTTTTTTTTAAAAAAAAGGAAGTTAGTGTTTTTATTCATTTAAATACTATTTTTCTTTTGATATTTAATTTTATTTGGACAAAATATATTTTTTAATTAAATTTTAAAATATTTATTTTTTCTTTATTTTAATTTATATATACATATATATAAATACATATTATTTAATGTTTATTTATTAAAAAATTAAAATTATGTAATAATTGTTCATTTTATTTTTTATAATTATTATTTATTAAAATTATATAAATTTTAGATATTTGAAACTTAATAATTTACATAAATTAAGTATTTTATATTTAGTTTCAGAAATTATTGATAATACCTAATTCCATTTAAAAACAAAAAGTAGAAAAAAAAAATTCTTTTCAAATTCTTTCTATTTCATATATTTAAATAATTAAAATAAATTAATAATAATGAAAAAAAAACAAATCATTCATACACACCATAGTTACAAGCTGTCTACATATTAAGTTAAATAAATTGAATCGAAACATTTTAATATTTTTAAAATAAATCAATAAGTTTTTAATAACTCTTAGTTTTTACATACAAACAATACCATAAAACCTTCAAAATCTAAAGTACATATTAATTAATGATTAAAACCTATAATTTAACTCCTTCATTTTCCCCACCAAAATCGTTTTTAGACAATTTTGTGTATTTTAAATTTTCTTTTAAACTAGTATTAGTAATACTATTAACTTTAACTTGTTTTCTTTTTTTTTCTTTATTTTTTCTCCAATTAACCCTATAGTAATTTCTTGCTAATTTTCTATTAAAGCTTCTTCCTCGTAGTTTCTAACGATTTTAAAGCTTTAAAGATTCATTCTCATACAATTAATATCATTATTTTAAATTGCAGGAAACATTCTTAAGTAATACTATAATAAATCCAAATATGAATCTTATTGATTTTTTCCGAGTTTTCTTTCTAGAGTTTCTTTTATAAAACCATCTATATGTTTTTAAGAATCTATATATTTTAAAAAACAATTAAACGCCTTTATACATTCATCTTGTGATAATATTTACAAAAAATTTCTAATTTAATCATTTTCGTTATCAAATTCGTTATTTTAATTTATTAATATGTCCACTCTTGGTAAAGGTATTGATGTATTAAAAGCTAATTTTAAAGGTCTATAAACGCAATATAATATATGTATAAGTGCTCTTATTTATATTCCCCCAAATAAAATGACTGATAATAAATCATATGTATTTTAATTATTTTCACAAAACATATTATGTTTATCTATATAAAAGAAAAAATATGCAATTAAAAAAAGTACTAAATCAGTTAAAATTATAAGAATGATTTCTGATTTTATATTGTAATATCCGAATACATTTTTAAGTAAATAGAGTATTGTTACGAGTAGAATAATATCAAATATAACTATTATACTCCAATATTTTATAAAGGAAAAATTACAGCCTGTTTCTATTACTAATAGTAATTGTCTATAGTAAAATTTTTATAAGTATATTGAGGAAATTAAAGATACAGAGAGTGATATTGTAAGTAAATATAGCTCATTTTTCATTATTTTTTATAAAATATTGTTCTAATATTAAATTTCGAATGCATAAAATAATCTCAAGCCTTTCACTATGTAAATTGTTTGCATTGAGAAACGAGAAAATAAATAAATAAATTTGATTGCTTTTTCTAATTAACCTCCTATTTGGTATTCTCGATCTTTTCGGATGTAAAAAATTATTATTAATAAAGGCATGGACATAAAATTTAATATACAGGCTATAAAAAAAGCAAATGTACAAGTACTTGATTTTTCTTTTAAAGGAAAAAAATCCTTTTTTTTTATTAATTCTCTTCCTAAATATATGCAAAATACTAAAAATAATATGGAAATTGCTAAAATTGTTAAGGAAAAATAATTCACATCTTATATAAGAAATTTGAGACATAATTAGTTTTCTTTACGCATTTTTTTTTATATTTATTTTTTTAGAAGTGAATATATAATAATAATATCAAATAAAATTTATTTAGGTAATAGATTATTTTATTTTAGCTAAAAAAAAATAATTTTATATACAAATAATTATATTAATTTTTTTTTTTTATTTTTATATAATGTTAAATTATTTATGTTTTTTAAATTTAAAAAAATTGTCTTAAACTTAAAATTTTAATCTAGTCGTCATTTATTTATAATTAATTAAACTTAATATAAAAAAAAGTTTAAAAAATATTTATTATCATATATTATAATTTTTTATTTTTTTAAATAAATATATGTATGTATATTAATTAATTAAATTTAATTATAATAAAACAAATTTTAAATATAACTTTTACAAATCAAAAATATAAAGGGAACATTTAAAAAAAAATATATAAAAAAAAAATGACAACTTTATAAGATCGTGAAAAAATAAGCAATTTAAAATAAAGAAATAAAGACTTAGAAGTAAAGCTAGAAAGTATAAATGAAATTCTAGTAATGTATTAAGCAAAAGAAAATGCTGCAGATTGTTAATAAAAAAAAGCATAATATATATATATATATATATATATATATATAAAACATAGAAAAAATTGCTGCTTTAAATAGTATACATGCTGATAAAATACGGGCATTAATGAATTCGAATTAATTATTAAAAAAAGAGAATAAACAATTAGAAAAATTAACAAAAGAGCACAAAAGAAGTGAATTAATAGCTTAATTATAAAAAGATGTTGCCGATCAAGATTCAATAATAGAAACTTTACGATAAATATGTGTTTAAAAGAATGTTTCAGATGATTAAATTGACAACTAAATAGTAAGTATGTTAAATAAAGGTCCTCCAAGAATAAGGGCGCCTACAAGAGAAGAATTAAAAATGGAAATAAAAAAATTTAAGGGACTTTTAGAGCAGATGAAGAAAAAAATTAATGAAAATGATACAAGTAATAACAATAATGGTTAAAAATAATAAAAAGAGATTAATAATAATAATAAATAAGAAAATTCTGTTATAGATTAATCAGTACATTCAGAAGTTAGCGAAAGTTTAGATTCAAATTAAAATCTGGTTAGGAAAATTGAATAATTAATAAATGAAAATGATGAATTAAGATTAAATTTAAAGGCTTAAGGATAGATTATTGAAAAATATGAAGATTAGTTAATGTTAAAAAGCGATGAAATTAATGAATTGAGAAATGCGAAAACTGATTATGTTATTATTAATAGAAAATATGAAACTTTATATTATGAATTCGAGAAATTAAAAGAAGAAACAAAGATGAAATATATAATGAATTTCGATAAGGAAGTAAGATTAGATGAAATGGAAATTATTAATAAAAATTAAGCTGAAAATATGAAAATGTAAGAAGATGATCTTAAAATGGAAATAGATTCTCTTTCTTAATAATTAGAATAAAAAATTAGAGAATATTAAGAAGAAAAAACAAAAAGTAAAAAACTAAAAAAACATTATATATAATTTATATTTTTAAATAATAAATCAAAAAGGTGAAGATTTATAAATTAAATATAATAGTACTTCTGAAAAACTTAAATAAGAAGAACAAAAAACAAAAGAGTTTTCAAGTAAAAACTATTATTTAGCTTAAGAAAATGAAAAAATGTAAAAATAATATTCTACATAAATTGCTTCATTAACTTCTTAATTGAAAGAAGTTTAGGATGATTATAACCAAATATTTGAGGAAAGAAAAATATTATCTTAAGAACTTAAAAATTTACAATAAATAAATGAAAAGTTAACTGAATATTAAATAAAAACATAAAATTGTAAAAAAAACAAAAATATTAATTATATATGTGAATTATATATATATATATATTAGTATTGGGACTAAGATTAGATGGATAAAGTTGGGATTTTGGAAAAAATAGCGAGTTTATATTAGAATAAAGACAATTGAAATAAAAAATAAGGGAATTGACATTAAGAGAATTAGAACTTTAAGATTAAATCGAAGGGCTTAAATTAGAAAAGAAATTAAAGGAATAACGAGAAAGTGCATAGACTATGTTAAATAAAAATAAAAATGTAAACATGTCTATGGAATAAATAAAAAAAGAATAAATTAATTAAGCAAGAAAAGAATATGAGAGCAAAATCACTTAATTAAGGTTAAAAATAAAAAATTTAGAAGATAAAAACTAATAATTTGATGAATTAATGAATATTTTAGCTTCTAATATAGAAAATAAAGACTAAGTTAATTTTAAATATTATATATATATATATATTATATTATATATTATATATTATTAAAAATAAAGAATTCTGATATTAGTATTAGTGTATAGAGTTTATAAAAATTAGTTTAAAAAGAAAATAGTTCATTAAGTTCTTAAGGTAAATATTCTATAGAGAATTTAGATAACAATATTTTAAAGGATAAAGTGAAATAATTATAAAATAAAGTGTAAGATTTATAAAATAAATAATATTTATTAGAAAAAACTAAAACCAAAAATGATAAATAAGAAAAACAAATTTTATAAGAAATGGAAAAAAAATATAAACAGGAAATAAAAGAATTATAATAATAAATTATTTAATTAGAAATCAATAATATTAACTTAAGTAAAATAAGCTCGAATATTGAAAATATAATATTCTCAGAAGATAAAATGGAAATTAAATAAGAAAAATTAAATAAGCTTTCTTCCGATATTTATTTCTCGATTTCAGATTTATAAGAAGGTTGTTTTAATTATATATTTATATTATTAAAAAAATAAATATTATATTATAAAAATAGATAATAATAATTTTAAAAAATTATAAGATATAAATAGTGAAGTAAGTTAATTATTATCAGAAAGTGATCTTAATAAAAATAAGAATTAGAAATTATGTCATCTGGAATTAGTAGATTTAATGATAATTAATCTAAAATCTATTTAAATATAAATCAAAATAATAATAAAAATTAAAAACTAAATAAATAATCAAGTAATATTAGAAGTATAGTTGACGAAAAAGATTAAATAGAATTTGGTAATAAATTAGGTAATATTAGTTCTGGTATTAGTAAATTTAATAGTGCAAGAAATTCATTTAAGGCATATGAAAGTAATTCTAGCATTGAAAATATTTTAAATAAAAGCAAAAATTATAAAAGTAATTTTTTATTATTATTTACTTTAAAAATATATTTTCTTAATTAGATAAAAATTAATTAAATGATATTAGTTCAAATATAAGTAATTTATGAAATTAAATATTTTAGTTATTATATTATATATATGTTTTTTTAAAAGAAAAAATATTTTATAAATATATTTATTTATTTGAAAATAAAATTTTATTTAAAAATAATAGGTATATTCATTTATTTTCTATTTTTAATTTAAATAAATAGATAATTTAATTAAATTAAAAAATATAATTAACTTTATAATTATAATATATTTAATTAAATATATATAATTATATATAAATATTTATATATATATATTTACATTATTTAATTTATATATTTATGATTTTTAATCAATATAACCATAAATATGAGTCTTATTCTTATATAAACTATTTAAATTTAATTGGATTTAATTTATATATATATATATATATATATATATATATATATATATATATATATATATATATATATATATATCTTTGATAATATTAATTATATATATATCATATTAATTCTTATAAATTAATAATATTAATATTAAAAATAAATTTAAAAAATAATTATTTATTTTTTATTTATTAAAAGTAAAAATTGAATATATTATACTTTATTTATTATTAATATATTTAATTTTACTTATTTAAATAATAATAAATATATTTTTACAATATTCATTCAAAAAACAAAATACTATAATTAAAAAAAAATTAAAAGAAATTCTTTACATTAAAAATATACTTTATTTATCCGAAAAAAAATTAAAATTTCAGAACATAATATTTATTAAAATCAGCAAATAATTCTATTTTATAATATTATCAAGATAAAAAAGCCCTCCTTTAAGCCTTTAAGCAATATAAATGAAAATATAGATAATTAAGATTTAAAGGAGTAATAAAGTCCAATAAATTAAATAATTTGCAATTTTATTAACCGTATAATTAACATTTGATAAATTATAAATACTTCAGTATACCAAATATGATAATAAATATAAAATTATATATAAATTACATATTAATATTAAAAATAAAACTAAATAATTAATTTAATAATTCTTATTTTGTAGATGATTCGCCTAAATAGTTGAATTTATAATTATTTAAAGAAACAATTCAACGAAATTAAAAGTAGCGAAACAAAACAAAAAAATGGTTATTTTTAAATAATTCTATACGAATAATTTAAAACTTATAAAAAATTAAAATTAAATAAATATAAAAAAAATAATTAATATATTTGATTTGAAAATTTATAAATATTTGATTAAAATTTTTAAATATACCAATAATCCATTATATTATGTCTATTTAGATTTTATTATTTAAAATTTTCTATTTATTTATAACTCTTTATATATTATTTAGTCATTTTACAATTATAAATATGTTATTAATATCCCGTTTTTGTTTATAGTATTAAATGTCAAATATACAGTGTAAATATAACTTATAAATCTATTATTACTAAATGATTTATTGATATGGTTTTTAAGTATATTATTTAACCTTTTTGATTAAAATAAAGTATATATATATATGTTTACTATTTAAATAAAGTAAACATATATTTATTAGTTATATAAATTAAATGTATATTTTAGAAATCTTCTTTTTTTTATATATTTTGTTACCCATTTTTTTTTACGTGTTGTTTTATTAAAAACTTGCTTTATTTTAATATGAAAATAAATTTATAAATGATTGATAAATATAATAATAAATTAAAATTAATAGCCTTATTAATAATATTTGAATTCTTTTTATAACTATGATTAATGAAGGGTATAGGAATATAGTACTTAAATTATATGTTATTTTAATTAAGATTATAAGTTGTGGTGTTTATCACCTATATACTTTATTTTAATTACGATTATAATTGTAGTATTTTCGCTTATACTATGAATAATATTAGGAGTGTGTGTCAAGAAAAGACTGTATAGGCGACTGAATTTAAAATAAGAATATCTTGATATTACTTTGTATCCAAAAAAAAAGAAATCTAAGCAAAACTACTTTAAATGAAAACGAAATAATTAATGGATTATATTGAAAATAAAAATGATAAGTTAGTTATTGAATTAGGTTAGTAAGGAAGTTTATGCAGAATATTTTAGCAAATTAATGATTCAGATTTATATTTTTATATTTATATATAATATATTAAAATATCTATTTTTTTATTTAATAACTTTGATTTATTCGGTCATAAAGATCTGCTAATTATTAATGTATTTTATGTATTTTTCTTTAATTGATATAATAACTCACTATATTTTTAATCTTGTAATTTGCCATTATATTATAATTAGTTTTCTTAGATATAATTCTCAAATTAAATTTATGATCAAATTTTATTTTTAGGTTTAAATCTATTATTTTTTTCATAAGAATAACAAATTTAAATGATATTTATGATATAAAATAAACTTTTATCTTTTGCTAAATTATTAGCATTATATAAACTTTGATTTGTTGTTAATATTTAATATAAATGAGATTTAATTTTTGAAAAAATTTTCGAATAATTTTAAATATGAAATAAGCATAATTCAAAATAAAAAAAATATATGGCAAAGAAAAATTATTTGAAAAAGAAGAATATGATAATTATATTACTTTTAGGAACAGAATAAAAATTATATTTAAATTTATAGATTTTATAAAAGTATATATTTTTCAAAGAAAAAAAAAATCTTTAAAATAAAAAAAAATTAAATAAATAAATATAAATATTATTAATATATATATCTTAAACATATATAAAATAAAATTATATAAAAATATATATTTATATTATATTTATATAATAAAATTTATATAAATATTTAATTATTTATATTTAATATTTAAATTAGATTTTTATATATTTTAATAATGATAAATATTATTTTACATTAAGATTTACAATATGACGGTTATAGTTAAATATGATGAATTTAAATTTGTTTATTTTTTTTATTAGTATAATTAGGATCATATAATTATCTCATACTATATTTTTTTATTTTATAAAATAAATTAAAAAAAAAAAGTAAAAGAACTATTATTGTATGTTATTTGATAAATAATATAAAAAACAATGGAATTAATTTTATAGTAAAATATGTATAAAAATAATATGTACAAATAATATGTATTATATATATATATTTCTTTATAATTATAATAATATAAGTTCGTATTTTATTAATTAAAATAATATTTTATAGCTTTTAAAACATTTTAAAAAATAAATTTAAATTTCATTAAATTTTTTTTCTATATATATATATATATATATATATATATATTAATAATTTGATTTCGTATTAAATTTCAAAAATTCAAATTTTTTTTTTGTGTATTTATAAATAAATTTTAAATTTGATATTTAACTAATTATTTAGCACATTATTATTCATCTCATAATGATTAAAAATTTTATAAAAACAAAAAATGAAAGCTTTAAAAAATTTTGAAATACAATTTTAATCATTATATAAATAAGAATTTAACTTCTATATAGCAATAATTAAAAATTTTTATAAAATTTTTTAAAATTATTTTTATTTTATGCAAAATATATATATATATTTATAAAAACAATTATAATTAATAAAAAATAATTTTAAGGCTTTATAAATTAAGTTAATATTTATTTAATAATTATTAATAAGTTACGTTATGAGCTTTTTTTATTTGATATTTAATTAAATTTTTGATCTTAAGTATTTTTTTTATTCAAACTTCTTTTTAATTATGTAAAGTGTAATTTAAGACATGCTTTACAAATGGGGGATCAATTTATTTTAATTAATTTTTTTAATTTAATAAAATAATTGAAAATTCGAATAAGTTATACAAATAATTTAATATAGGTGGGGGTTTATTCTTATTTATTTAGAATTATTTTTTTATTATTATAATATATATTAAAAAAAAAAAAAAATAGTATTTTTTTTGATTATAAAAAAAAAAAAAAAATAATAATAGATAATTAAAAGAAAATTAATTATAAAATTATTTTTCCTATATTCAGATGAATATATTTCAAATAAATATAGAAAAAAATTTAATTTATGACTAAAATACATAATCATTATCTAATATTGATAAAATATGCAAACTAAAGTAATAAATTAATTTGATATAATAAAAAAATGTTATTATTTAAAAAATATTAGAGATAATTAATTTGTAAATTGTCCTGAAATATTTTATTAATCAATATAATAATAATCTCATCAAAATAACAATAAAAGAAATAATTATTACTGTGATCCATTAGATTTTCGTGTAAAATTTAAAACAGAAGTATATTTATAATAAAAAAAATGTTAACATAATATAAAAGTTTATTTAAAAAAAAGATTTGTAAATATTGGAAGAACTCTGATTAATGCCCTTTTAATGATAATGTAATTTATAAATATATATAAATATATAATATTTATATATATATATATATATATTATTATATATAATTTTTAGATTTTATTATTATTATAATAATTTTTTTTATTATTATTTTTTATTTAAAGTGCGCATTTGCTCATGGAACTTATGAAATTAAATAAAAAACTCATTTACCAATCAATTACAAAACTAAAAAATGCAAAAACTTTTATGAAAATGGTTTCTGCTTTTATGGACAAAGATGCTAGTTTTTACATAATATATAAAAAGAAAAGTAATTTATTATAATTATTTTTAAATATATAATATATTTTTTTAAGTTTAAACAAGTGGAATAATTCTTTTTCTTCATGTTCTTCATCTTCGTCTAATTCTAAATTTTCCAATACTACAAAATATTCAAATGCTTTATAAAATATTTCAGAATATTGGAATGATACTTAGTTTGGGTTCGAATTGCCTACTTAAAGGTATTTTTTTAAAAAAAACTTATGTAAATATAAAAAAGGTTATAAACATTCGAAAAAATAACTTAAAAATGAATAAAAAAAAGAATATTGTATTTAAAAAGAAATTTATATTTAAAAATATTTTATTTTATAATAAAAAACTATTTAAAAACTTATAATATATAATTATTTAAAAAATATATATATATTTATGTATTTAGTATTATATTTATATATAAAAATAAATAAACTTTTAGTTTGTTTTACAAATATAAATAAGTATTATTAGTTTAATGTTTTTTTATTTAAATAGAAACTTATACTTTCTTTATTTTTTAAATAATTATATTTAGTAGAATTTTATAGTTAATATTAAACATAATTTAACTTATTATTTAATTTTTTTTTTTATACATACATTAAATAATTAATATTACAAATTTGATATTTTATTAAAATTAATTACTTTTAAGATATTCATAAGCTTTATAGATAAAATAAATTTTATTGAATTGAATCAAATTATATAATAATTATTTTTTTAAATATAAAATTTAATTGCCTTAAATAATATTTTACTTTTTTATTTTTTTTATAAAAAGCATATAGAAGAATAAAAACATGAGAAAAAATATATCATAGAATTTTTTGTTTGATTTGTTTTTTAAAAAAATAATAAAGAGAGTGAGCTAAAATAAAATATATTAATTATTGTTTTATTTTTCTTTATACTTATATTTTTCAAAAATTAATATAATAAAATAAATTTAATAAATAATATCATTTTTATAATCAAATTATTCAATAAATATTATTTTTGCATATTATTTTATTTAATATAAGTTTATTTAATAACGAATTAATTTAATTTATAAAATTATCATATAAACGAAAAAAATAAAAGTAATAATAATAAAAAAACTGATTTTAAATATAATACATCAATTCATTAACATTTTTTTTTAAAAATAATAAAAATAAAAATATTTGTTATTAAAAATAAAAAATGAGTATTTATAATTATAACTCTTAATATTAAAATAATCAATAATAAAATGCCTTCGATGAAAATAGACAAACCGGCTTACTTTCCTATTTGAAATATACACCAGAAATAGAAGAAAAAGTAAACAAAATAATAGAAGAAATAATGCTAAGAAAATAAAACGAAATTAATTCTAAAAAAGAAATAAATATTCCTTAATTAATTGATTTTTAATTATATAATCCTAAACATATAAATGAATTACCTATGTCTTTTAATTCTTAAAATTATTAAAGTCTAAATATAGAATCTAATGTCAATTAATACTCTTCTTAAATATAATAAAAACATATAGAAATAGTAAAAGATGTCGATTATAAAAATTAATTTGATTAATAAATATAAAAAGAAACATTTTTAGAATAAAAATATTTTAGTCATTAAAATTTATTATAAAATTAAAACTTAGATATTTTTAAATAAAAATAAATTAACCTTAACACAGAATTATTTAAAAATGATGAGGTTTAAAGCGAAATAATAGAAACTTTTAATCCAATATTTAATGATACTAAAAGTTAAACTTAAGAATAGAAAGAAATATAAAAATCTTTAGATTTAATTTAATCTTCTTAAAGCTTAAAATAAGAAAATACGATTTAAAATGGTGAAATAATAAAAATGATGAATGAATAGAAAATAATAACGGAATAATTATAGCAACAAATAGAATAAACGAAAAACCTGCCTGATATTTAGAAAGATTTAACAAAATAGGCAAAATTAATTGAAGACATTTAAAGTGATTTATAAAAAAAAATTGAAAAATATGAATAAATTTTGAGTCTAAGTAAAAAAGATGAAAATTTAGAAAAAAATAATAGTAAATTTTAAACTTAAAAATAAAAAAAAGGATAAATAAATAGTTTTTCTTAAAATGAAATTTTAAAAAATTATAAAAAATTTAAATAAAATTCATAAAAATAGAAAAATAATTTTAAATAATATTTCTCTGAATAAAAAATTCCTAATGAATAAAAAAAAAAAAACCCTATTGAATAAAAAAAATAACAAATCTAAGAAACTAATAAATTTTAAGTAAAAAATAAAAAAGATGATGTATTAAAAAATATTTTTTATATAAATCTTATTGATTTGAAAAAATAATTAACCAAAAAAAATATATTAAAAAATCATGAAAATAAATATTAAAGTAACTTTTCTATTTAAGCTTAACTATTGAAAAGCCATAAATAAACAAATATTAATTTAAAATTTAAAGATAATAAAATTTAATAATAAAATCTTTCTTTAAGATAAAAAGAAAAATAAATCGCTTTAAATTAAGAAAATAATTAAAATAAAATTATTTAATAAGTAGATCTGGTTAAAAGTGAAGTTTTTTAAAAAACTATTAGTAATTTTGAAACTGAAAGGTTATAAAAGCATAAAAATGAAAATATTTTATTTTCTTAAATAGAAATTTAATAATAAAAAATTGCTTAATAATTATAATAATAGAAAAAAACTATAATTAAGAAAAATTCTTTTATAAAAAGAGAGTTTTTATCGCCTAAAAACTTGTATTTATTTTTTTATAAATATATATTTATTTTTTAAATGAATAAACCTATTATTTTTTAGTAAAAAAGAAAATTTAAATCAATAACAAGAAATTATAACAAATCAAAAAAATTAAAATGAATAATTAAAAAACTAAAACATTATTTTTAATAATGATAAAAAGGAAGTAAATTGTTTGTTTTAAAGTGCAAAATAAATAGAAAATCAAAAATAAAATATAGATAAATAAAAATAAAATGACATATTAAAAAATTTAAATTGCCATAATTAAGATATATCGTCAAATTAAAAGTAAGGAAAATTATTTTATTCTTAAAATTAAAATGTTTATTAATTTTAAAGTCCATTAAAAATAAAAAACAATGTTAGTTCTAAAAATATTTCTAAAAAAAACAACATTTTTTCATCATTTAGGTATAGATTTTATTATTTTAAAAATAAATAAAATAAAAGTAAAAATATTGAAAATGAAATAAATGATGTAATAAATATTCTTGATAATTTATATGAAATCAAGCCAATTAAATAATGAATTTTTTCCGAAAAAAATTATAATTTTTTATTTTTTTAATTTTATTAAAAAACAACTATTTTTACTTATAACAATATTTTCATTTTACGGTTTCTATTTGGAATTTTTTTTATATTTCCCTTTTCTTTTCATTCCTTTCTTTGTATTTTTTAAGCATTTTCGAAAACATTATTGTAAAAAATACACCTAATGAGCCCATCATAAATTCTTGCTTATAAGGACACAATAAATCTCTTATGGGATGTGGTTCATAATTATTCTCATTTATATTATCTTTACATACTACTATAGAAACAAATAATACTATCATAGCAAGAAAAGCAAATAATTCTCTTATTTTGACTTTGAGCAATCTATTAATTTATATACTTTTAATTTACATAAAAAAAAATACTCAAATAATGAAAATTCTGATCCTTTTTTATTAAAAATAACTATTCTATACGGAGCATTAAAACGAGGAATTAATCCCTAAAAATCAATTTCAAGTTCTAAAAATTTATTATAATAAAAATCTTATTCTATTAAATATTCAGTTTTTCTTCCCATAAAAATATGGAGAAACTATGTATTGCTATTTATGGAAATCATATTTTTTAGTTTTATTAAAAAATCTTATTCGAAATTGCTTTTTGGAACTCCATATTTTTCTTAATATTTCAAATGATAAAGACATATAAATTCAAGTATTTTTTCCATGCAATCTATTTATTTTGGGGTTTCAAATCCTTTAGAAATTAAAATCTTTGTTTTGTTTCTTAAATGTTCATATTTTTTTTATTCAAATTCTTCCTTTTAAAGAAGTTCTAATTATGGTATCTTAGGAACTTCAATATTTTTAGGTTTGTAAATAAAAATGCATACGTCATCAAATAATAGTATTAATAATCCGTTTAATTTTTGTTAAAGATAATATGATGTATTTGTTGAAATTACTATGACATATTCTTTTTTTATTACTTCGTTTGTATAGTCATGAAATGCTTTTTCTATTTTTTATTTTATTAAATATTTTTTTTTTTCATATATATATATATATATATATATATATATATATATATATATATATATTTAATGTTAACTTATTAGTTTTGTCTTTTTTTCACTAATCATTATTTCTGTAATTTATGTTTCAATTATATTTTTAAAATATTTGTATTCGATTTCTTTTAAATCACATCTTATTAGTTATTTTTAGGATATTTTTATGATTTTAGATTTCTCTTTTTAATTCATTTGCTTTTTCAAATATTATTTTTTAGATTTTTATTTTTATACAATAATTTAAAATGGATATTTTTTTATTATTTAAATTATTTTATAAAAAAAAACATATTACTTATTATTTTTTTAATTTAATAAATAAACTTGAAGAATTTTTTTATTTTTTATAAAAAAAAATACATATAATATATTAAAAAATATATTTCTATATAACTCTTTTCTTCCTATATAATCGTAGAAATATTTTCTGTTTTCTGACTATTTAAAGGCTTTTAAATCATCCTTATCGGAATATTTTAGAAAAAAATATCATCTGGAATATCACTATATCTCCCTTTCCGAATTGCATATTTGTATACCTTATCATTTAATTAATAGCCAAAACTTTTATAATATGGGTTCACTAAAACATATTCCTATTAATTTCCCTTTTTTTCCTATTATTTTTCTTGCTAAAAAGCAATACGTTACCGTTCTTAAACCTAAATGCATGGTTTTTGACCTTATTTAATTTTAGCAAATTATATAGATTATATAGGGACTCGAAATCCTAAATTAAGAAAAGCAATTTTTTCCTAACTTTAAGCATACTTAATTTTTTTTTCCAGTATTTCATTTAATTATTGCTAGATATCTTGGATTTTAGTTAGATATATTTAAATAGAAGTTTTGAATTTATCTTTTATTTATTATTAGTTGTCTAATATAATATAAAAAATATTATTGAAAGAAATCAAATTAAATAAAATAAAGAATATATATAGAATACATTTTTTATTTATTATACTAATTCAATAATATTTTTATAAATTTTTACATTTTATATATATAAAAATTTTATATTTAATTATTATCAAATCTTAAGCATTATTTTACATTTAAAACACCCAGAAATACATATACATATAAATCGGATGCATTTTTAATTTTTTCACATATTATTCTTCTAAAAGAATACCAGAAATAGAAAATTGTCATTTATTTTTTAATAATGTGATAGAATTGAGAAATAAACTTTTTTTGTTAACTAGTCAGTTATGCAATTAAAAATTAATAAATCTATAAAATTTTCTAAAACTGATATATTTAAATGTCATCCAATCTAAATTATTAAGATTTTTATATCATTGTTATAGTAAAATATATCCCTATTACCTTTTCTTCTTATCTTACTATTTCTGACACTACAAACTACAATATATTACAGAACCTGAATCTGAACCAACTTTAATGCGAGTAAGCCATGTAGGAACACTCCACATCCTCAAGGAATATCAGCATCTTTATAATATTCAACTATATCTGTATAGGGTTCATACATTTTCTTATTCACATTATTATTAATTATTAGAACAAAATTAAATTTTAATTACTCCAAAACAGATATTAGAAAAGTTATATCATTTGGATTTTGTATCTATTTTTATAAAGAATTTTTTCACTATTTATTTTTTTTAATATTAATTGGCCTTATATTTTTTTATTTCAATTAAAAATTTAATTTTTATTTAATTAAGATTTTAATTTATTTTATTATATAATAAATAAAAAAAAAAAAATTTCTTTAAATATTTTATTTATATTCAAAGCTTATTTATTTTTTAAAAATTTTATAATATTTATTATTTTATAATACAAAATAGTTAAATTATGAAAAAAAATAATTTAATAATTATTTTTAAAAATAAATAAAAATTTTAATATATTACAGCCATTATTATATAAAGCATTTTTTATAAATATAAAAGTAAAATATAAAAATAAATAACTATTTTTTAAAAAAAAGTATTAAAAAAAATAGATTTTATAAAAATATAGTATAAATATTATATATATAAAATAAATATATTATTAAAAAAAACTAATTTTAATATTTTTAAAGAAATCGAAAAAAATAAAATATCATAAAATTCTTAACATAGAAAATATAAAATAAAATTTAATATTTGAAATATAATATTTTAACATTACTATAAAATTATATTAAAGCAAACTAATCATCAAAAAAACTAAAAATTTACTTATCATGAATATAAGCATCAGTAAATCCTATATTTTACACAGGCAGTTTAAAAACCTCTAAAATTTTTCATTTACTCATGTAATTATCAACTAGAAAGTAGTATATCAGAAATATAGAAGTTTCCTTTGTTTCTAAGAACTCTTTAAATTTCATTCATCATAAAAATAGAAAAAACTATATAAACTGAATTATGTTTCAAATTGAAGTTTTCTATATCTCCCTTTTAGAATACTAAATTAGTTAATCTTCTCTTCTTAGCAATTAATCGATATTTCTAACGAAATATTCTTTGAAGTCGATTCCATTAGCTCTTCTGGTATTTACAAAGTTTTTTAAGTGCCATTAAGAAGTCAAGTCCAGCTTACGTAACCTCAGTTAAGGGCTGTATAACCTTTCTTTATTTTAAAATATTACAGGTACACCATAGGCATAACCGAAGTCAGCTTCAGTAGAGAATTAGAGTTTATATTTTCATTAGCATAATCAGGGCACTAGCGATAGATCTATTTGACAGTATCTTTTATTTTATGGATGCTTTATATTTTTTATAAAAAAAAAAACAATAATATGTATTTTTTTCTAAAAAAAAACTAGAATAAAAAAAATAATAATAAAAATGACTGTTAAAAATACTAAAAATTATAAAATTAACTTAATTTTTTGTTTATAAAAATAAAAATTATTTATATTATGAATAAAATTAATAAATATTAATTTTTAATTATATATTTATTATTTTAAAATTACTTTATTTTTATGGGTTGTAATTTACATGTATAAAAACCATTATTAAATTTCTATTAAAAAGACAAATATTAATTCAATAAAGATTTTTCAGTAAACTTAGGAGTTGTTCTTCATACAACACCTTAATACACCCTTTATAAATTAGAATCATAAAAAACATACGCGAAATCTTATTTAGGATCTTAAAATTTAAATAGATAGTCGACATAAATATAAGAAGGTGAAAGAAAAAAAGCATTTACAGTAAAAGTTTGTAATAGTTAAAATACAATATTATTATGTTCTGATTAATGTTTAAATTTAAAAGTGCATATAAATATTATTAAAATATACGATATATATAGATGGATTGAGAAAACAGATATATTATATTAGGCTATAATAATGGAGGAAATAGATACTACTTTAGAATTAAAAATTAAAGAATAAAATTAAAAATAGGCATTTAAATATACAGATGATATTTATAATCAAATTATAAAAGATATCATTAGTGGATTATAGCATTTAAGATTAAATGGTTTTTTTACATAAATTTGCTTCGATAATATATTTATTGTAGGGAATTTTTATAAATTAGCTAATTATGTGTAGAACGATGGAAAATAAATTGACTAAACTTAAGAAATTTCTGATTTGATTAAATTTATATGTGAATTTATAAAAAAAACTAATTTTTATGAAATTAATTTGGAGGAAAATTTTCTTGTTTTTGTAAAAGAAAAATTCCCAAAAACAACTATGGTTTTGCATATTTTGGAATAACTTTTTTTGAAAAAAGAGAACGGATTGTATTATGAAGCGTTTTTTGAAAAATTTCAAATTCTTTCTTAATAATAGAAAACTATATAACCTTCGAAAATTAATTAAGAAAATTAAATAGCTATTAAAATAAGCAATAAAACTATTAATGTATTTATTTATTTTTATTTAAAAAATAAATATATGTGTATTTATATAGGAACATATAAACACAATTTCAAATTGTTTACCAAAATAAGTATTTGTGGATATTGATGACAATTGTACTTAATTATTAGAAAGTGCGTTTTATTAATTATCTAAAGGAGTTAATTTGAAAGTTGTTTAATTTAAATGTTAAAATTAATAAATTTTTACAGAGGATGTGTATAAATTATTAGATCGTATTTAATATTAATAATATGTGGAAGGATTAGAAATTTTGGTTAAGCAAAATTATATAAAAAGTGACTTTCTGGAGTATTTGTCTAAGTTTTTTAAAAAGTTTTCAAGTAAATTATCCACATTAAAACTTGATTTTCAATAAAATTTATTTAATAGGAATTTCGTGTGTATAGAAGAAATTTTTATTGAATAAAATGCTTTAAATAATATATATATAAATTTTGCATAGAACCAATTATCAGAATAAGAGATAATTCATATAGGAAAAAGTCTAAAATAAATAAATTAGCAACTACAAGTTTTAGAAATAAATATGAGCAAAAATTACATTAATTCAATTGGATTTTAATATTTTACTTCTTATATTGAAAACGCAATTTTTATGAAAACTCTAAAACTTAATTTTTCCCATAATAATTTAGATAGTTCGAGTATATATAGTATATGCTAATTAGTTTAAAAATTTAAAGATTTGAATATATTGTGTTTAGATTTTTCCCATAATTTTTTGAAAGAAAAAAACTTATAAGTTTTTTAATATGAATTTTTCATTAATAATGTTCATAAAGAAATTACTCATTTAGAAATTAATTTTTAAGACTGTTAATTAAGTGAATGTGATTCTTGTAAAATAATAAATACTTTAGTTATTGTTTGTAATAAGTTAAAAACCTTTAAAATAAATTTTTAGAAAAATAATTGTACTGAAAAAACAATTTAATAATTCAAAGAAATTTTAGAAAATCTTAACAATTGTCAAGAATTAAACATTAATTTTAACCATAATTGGATAGAATAATTTAGCTTTTAATTAAAAGAAGATACTATTTATTAATCTTTGAAAAGTTTCACTATTTAATTAGAAAATAATAAAATTAATGAAATTACGTCTCTTTGCTATATTTTAAAAGTAATGCCTAAATTGTAGTTTTTAGAAGTTAATTTATCTAACAATAATTTAGGAAATAATGAATTCAATTTTTTCTTTGAATCCTTTAATGTTTTGTAAATGGTTAAAGTTTTAAAATTAAATGTTTCTTAGAATAATATTATCTCTAATGTAAATAATAATGACACTATAATAAATGCAGGAAATGCAATCTAAAATCTTTTTAATATTGAAATTTTAGATATCGATTTTTCCCATAATAAAATTTGTGCTTCTGGGGCTGAAAAGTTATTTTCATTAGCTTTAACCAATAAAAAAAAGTTAAACGAAATTTAGATAAATTTGAATAATACTTAATTTTAAAGTAGCAAATGTATTTAAATTTTAAATGCTTAGAATTCATTAAAATGCTTGAAAATATTTATAGAATCGAGTTAATTATAAGGCGACTTTTTAAGTGAGTTTGGAAATAACTTTTATTAAAGTAATAAATTAAATTAACTGTAAATTAATTTTTCTTAAATTGCTTTTACTAATGATAAAATTATTACTAATTTTAGTAAAAATTTAAGCTTTTTATAAAATACTTTAAAAATTTTATACTTAATAATGAATTAATGCGGAATCAATGACAATAAATTTTCTTAAATTATAACAGCTGTCTCTAATTTAAAAAAGCTTACATTTCTTCATTTAGAATTTAAAAATAATACAGATCTAACAGAACTTAAAGATTTTAATAATTTATAAAAACTAAACTAATTAAAAAATATTGTAATGAATTTCTCATACTGCAATTTAAATGCAAATGCTGGAAAAAAAATAGCAAATGCTTTAATAAACAATAAATCTAACTTAAACTAAGTATACCTTAATTTAAAAAAAAATAAACTTGAAAATATTGGATTCCAAACTATTTGTTAGTCTTTATCTTTATTTTAAAATTGCCAGAAACTTGAACTTTATTTTAACAAAAATTCGATTGATAGTTTTGGGTTGTAAAGTGTGTGCAGTAGTATTTTAAAAATTCACACTTTAGAGTATTTTTGTATTTCTTTAAATGGAAATAATATTGGAGATATTGGGGCTTAGTTTATCGGGTTAATTACTTCTTAAAGGGAGTTTTAAAAATTGAAAAGTTTGCAAATTTAACTGAGAAAATGTAATATAAAAGCAGCTGGAATTTCTAAAATTTTATAAAATATTCATAAATTGAATAGCTTAGAAAGCATTTATTTCGATTTATATAATAATTTTGAAGGGGATGAGAATAATAGAATGTTTTGTAATTTGTTCTATCAAAGTTTGAGAGAATCAAATTATTTGTGCAGTATATATATTGATATTAGAAAAAATGGGATCAAACTTAGTTAAGGATTTAAGGATTTGTTAGAGGCAATAATATTTTCAAGGATTTAGTTGAGGAATATTAAAATTAAGTATGATTTCTAGAGCATTGTTTATTAAGCTTTTATTAGCATTTTTATGTAGGTTTAATAGAAGATTTTGTGCTTGATTGCTTTACAGAATATCTTTAAAGACGATTATTAATATATTAAATATTTTTTCTGAAATTTTTGATTATTATGTAAATATTATATAGAAAGTAAATATATATATATTTTTATTATTAATTTTTATTCTAATTTTAAAAATCATTATTTTCTATTAAAATTATAATTTTTTAAAATGTAAAATGTTACATATAATATTTAGTAATAAAAATAAAATAATAAATAATATTCATAAATTTATAATTTTAAAAATAATAAATAAGAATTTATTTTTTATATTTTTTTTTAAAATTAAACACTTTATTTTATTAAATATTTAAATATTTTAACTTTACAAAAAATTACACAATCTTTATGGTATAATCAAATAATTAATTATAAAATGAAAATGAAATTTTTGTAAGCTAATAAAATGTTACTGATGATAGAAGAAATAGTTAAAGTATTTTTTTCTTTAATAAGCATAAAAAAGAATCATAAAGCGATTTACATATAAATAATTTAAATGGCTAATGTTAAAAACATATAAAATTAGAAAATTTACATTAATCAGTTTTCAATTAAAATGAACTAAATATGGCCCCTAGCTGTTACGATAATAATGCAAAAGTTTTAAACTAAAACATTAATTGTTAAATTAATATTCAAAGAAAAACTTCTATTACTCCTACAAATAAAATAAAATCCTTTTTTTTTAAATAAACTATAAATAAAATTTTAATCATTCGGAAATAAATATTTTTAATTTTAGAAGATCCTCAAAATTCCTTAGTTGCAAAAATAATTTAATTTTATATTTAGTTTTGTGTTTTAATGAGTATACTTTTATTAATCGCGGACTCTATTTATTATAACTAAAATGCTAATAATAGCTTGAATTATTAAAATTCTGAATAATTTCCTCTTTACAGTTATTTTTCTTAATACATGGAATATATAATTTTTTCAACTTTTATTATCGAGTTTTTTATAAGAGTTTGTGTCTGTACGAGTTTTGGTGATTCTTTATATGTATATATAAAATAACCTTATAATATAATCGATTTACTTTCATTAATACCTATATTTTTAGATTTAATACTGGAGTTTTCTTGGAGTTCAGCAAAATATTCTACAAGTATATTAAGGGCGATAAAAACAATAAGACTTTTTCGAATTATACGAATTTTTAAGTTTTCGAGGTATATGAAAGGTTTAAAAACTCTATAAAAAAGTTTGAAAATTTCTGGAAGATTTTTTAAATTTATATGCTTCATATTATTTATTTATAACCTTTTTTTCGGAACTCTTGTTTATTATTTAGAGATCAATTCTTCTTCTTTTAACTAAGATAATCCTAATTAAATTAAAAGTTATTTTATATATAGTTTTATATATAAATATATTAATTAATAGATATTCATGAGTCTATGTGGTTAGTACTTGTAACTATGACAACTGTTGGATATGGAGATTTTATTCCTTAAAGTATTTAAGCTAAAATATTGATTTCTTTTATTTCTTTAATTTCAAATTCTCTTGTTTTGGGGTATATTTTTAGTTAAAATTATGAATATTAAAAAATTAAAAAGAATTCCAATAGCCATCGTAAGTCATGATTTTTAATAAGTGTATATTAAACAAAAAGAATTGAAGTAATTTAATTAATAATACAAAAGTGAAATAAATAAAGGGGATTAAATAAAAGAGTTAAATTACATGTTAGAAAGATTAAGAAGAATTTCACATAACAATAAAGTAATAAGAGAATATATATAAAAAAGTAATAAAATGTCTTTTTTAATTACAAAAGATTTGGTATATCTTTATTGTTAGATATAAGAAAACATGAATTATTAAAATAATTAAGAAGGCTAACAAGAAAAAGAAAAATAATAATGGGAATAATATTAAAGGATTTTTCAAAAAAAAAAGAAAGTGCATTTATCGACTTTAAAATATTCTGAAAAGAATACGAAAATGTTCGCCAAAGAATTTTGTGATGGAGCCTTAAATTATTTGAAATTAAAATCTTCTGAAAAAAATATTTAAAATGGAGGTAATATAAGTAATAAGAAATTTAAAGAATAGCAAAATACAAATAGTTATTACAATGTTTCTATAGATACTTAGAAAAAAAAATAAGATCCAGTATGTAAATTTCAATTTGGATCAAAATTAGTAAATAATAATAATAAAAGAATACTAAAAAAATTTAACTCTTCTGAATAAAATTAAGTATTGGGTTAAAAAAATGAATAAGAAATTTCTGAGAATAGTTAAAAAGAAAAACATTGTTTAAGATAAAGAAGGCATAGTATGGAAAATATTAATAAATATGATAATTTTCATATTTAATTTTTAAAGGAAATTTATAAGAATTATAAAGATTCTGATAATAATATTGACGAATATTCCGATTATGAGAAAAAAGAAGATTAAAATAAAGTAAATCCGTGTTATTTTGAAATTGATAAATTCGAATAAAAAAATCAGGAATAATAAAAAAGAAGTAATAATTAAATTAATTATTAAAAAAAAGAAGAAATAATAAAAGAAGAAGAAGAAAATATAGGAATAGATTCGCCTTATTAATAATAAATAAATAAAACTACACCAATTAGAAACTAAATATAAATTTAAAAAATTAATAACTTAAATTTTGAATAAACTCCTAAATAATTAAAATTAATTCAAAATTTCAGTGATTCTTCAATTCATAATTTTCCTTATAATAATACACCAAGTTAATAAAATTTTCCAAGTTATTATGACGGAGTTAATATCACTTAAGTTAGCCTTGGATAGTTTAGAACTTAATCCGATTAAAGCTGGAGTGTTAGTAAAAGAATGTAGGTATAGTGCAAGCATTAGAGATATAAAAGTTTTTTCGAATATAGATCTTCTCCAGGATAAACTCTTAAAGCTATTAATAATTAAGATTTTATATTTAAAAATGGAAAAGTAAGAGATATTAAATCCAAAACTATAGATTAAATATGCAAAAATTTACAAATTAATGAAGTAGATGAAATTGAGGAAGAATAGGATTTGGATAAAAGCAAAATTTAAAAAATAATTAGAATGAAATCTGTTCGTACAAATATTAATTTTTTCTAAAATGATTTAGTTTAAAATTTGTATATTTTTTTTATATTTTATTTTAAAATAGATTTTTTTTATAAATAATTTATTATATAGTTAAGAAAATAATGAAATTACTAATTAAAATTTAAATATAAAAAAATTATCAGAATATAAAGAACCTTTAGATAAAAAATAAATTGCGTATAGCAATTAATATAGCGATAATCCTATAGATTATAGTATTTCCTCTATACCTTAGATAAAAGCCTTAAATGAAGTTATAAATAAAAGATTTGAATGATCAAAAATTAGTTTGATATAATAAGAAAAAAATTTAATTAAAATAAAATGTGCATATCATATAAAAGCTAAAATAAAATTTATATTTATCATAAATATTAAAATATATTTATTAATATATTAAATAATTTATTTTATCAAAATGATTAATTTTTAAAATTTAGATATTATTATAAAAAATCATTATAAATTACATTTATTTAATCTAAATTATATATATATATTTTTTTTATTACTATATATTAAATATTATTTATATTTTTAATTAAATAAATTAATATTAAAAATATTTAAATAATATTTTTTTAATTTATTATATATATAAAAATAGATAAATAAACTTGCATATTGAAATAGTATATAAAAATATACTTTTTTAATAGTAATAATAATAATAAAAATTTTCATACACCACAAAATATAAATAAAAATGAATAAAAAATTTTAAATTAAGCAATAAACATTATAAAAAAATATAAATTAATAATCTTAAAAAACTTAATATAATAAAAAATAACTGTTTCCCGATATTCAAAATAAATTTTAAAATATAGAAAAATAAAAAGAATCATTGAATAAAAAAAGAATTTAAAAAAAAAATTCTTTTTAATAATAATAATAATAATAATAATAATAATAATAATAAGAATAATAATAATCTTTTTATTTAAGATTTTTCGCTACCTTCTTAATAAATATAAGATACAAATTAAATTGAAAATATTTTTGAAATAAATAAATAATAATTAAATAATGATGATATTAAAAATTCATCAATATACATCTAATTATTAAATAAATATGAAATTTTAAGTGATTAATTTTAAACCCTAAAAAATGTTATAAAATTTTGATTTTTATTACTTTATTTTTTTATAATTTTATATAAATTAAGGAAAAAGAAAATTTTATAGAAGTTTTATAATAAAAAGATGAATAATTAAGAAAAATTAAATTTGAAAACGAAAAATATTAAGAATTATAAAGTTAAGTTTTAAACTAATTATAAGATATTACTTAATTAAGACAATAAGTTTTAGAATTAAAAAAAGAAAAAAGAAAATTAACAGAAGAAAACATAAATTTAAAAGGCGAATTAACTACATTGAAATTCGAAATAGTATAAATATAAGACTAATAGGAAGAAAGAAAAGATAATAACGACAACTAAATGTTAGTTTAAACTTTATTAGCTATAAGAGCAAGATAATAAGAAGAACAAATGATACAAATAGCTTTACAACAATCATTGAATTAATTTATAAATCATAATAATATGACATATGAAGTAAAATATATATATTTTATAAAAATATAAAAATATATATATATATATATATGTTTATATATTTATATATTTATATATTTATATATTTATAAATATTATTATTTTTATTATAATTAAAACAATAATAATATTAACAGTAAATAATTTAATTAGAAGAAAGAAATGGAACTGTTAATCGAGGATTTTCAAGTCAATAAATTAATAAAATTTAAATATAGAAGTTCTTGAAAACGAATAATTCTTAATAAGATTAATGTAGTATTTGTATAAGTGAATTTGATAATAATGAAAATATTAAATAATTATCGTGTAATCATATTTATCATTCATAGTGTATTGATAGTTGGCTTATTAAAGAAAAAAATTGTCCAGTTTGTAAATAGATTGTTTTTATTCCTTAGTGATTTTTTTTTTATTTTTTATAAACTTTATTTTATTATTTATTTATTTTATCCTTTTAAATATTGATTATTTTTAATTTAAATATAGATTTATTAGTAATAATAATTTAATTTATTATATTTTATAAAAAATAACTAATTTAATAAAAATAAAAATTTATAAAATATTTTAAAATATAACAGTTATTTAATTTCAAAAAATATATAAAATATATCAATTTTATAAAAAAATACTTTATTATCCTTTATAGTTAAAAAACTAAAAAATAAGGAAAAAACAAAATATTTTTTTTAAAGAAAATTTTTACTGTGTAAGCAAGTAACAGCTTTAAGAATTATTTGAAAATAATGATATAAAAGTCCAAAAAAGATTACAAATATTTAAAAATGAATTAAAAGTTATCGAAGGTTTAGCTTAACTTTAAAAAAAATATAAAATCTCCAGAAAGTTATCTTTTTCGAAAATATTTTAGAGTGTTTTGAAGATACGATACTTTAAATATTATTATTTTCGAGTATTATTAATATTTTAATAGGAATTTTATAAGAAGACCTTGCAAATGGTTAGTTCGAAGGTTTAGCAATTATTATCCCAATTATAGTTATTATATCAGTTACTATAATCAATTAACATCAAAGAAAGGTAGTTTTAAAAAATGAATTCCTAATATGAACTTTAATGGAAAATTGTTAGAAACAGAAATATTTAATATTGGAAATATACTAGGAAAAAAATTACAAGTTGATGAATCTAGTATAACTGTAGAATGCGATTTAGTATAAAATTCATATATAGTCTACACAATTAGTAATAGTTAAAACGCTTTCATTATTTCTAGCTCAAAAATAATGGACAAATTTGGATTCTTAATTGTTGTAGTAGTTGGCAAAAACTCCTAGTTAAATCAAATAAGGGAAAAACTTTAAGAAAAGTAACTACCTAACCCTTTATAATTAAAGATATTAGTATAGCCGAATAAATAGGTTATATGGATGCTTTTGCTCGTTTAATCACTATTTTGCTTATTAATAAATTTAGAAATTTCAATTTAATAAAGAAAATTTTGCTTTGACTAACTAACATAAAGTTTTAAAAGCTTTCATGATTTCTATAACATAAACTTGAATGAAATTTGTTCATATTTATATTAATGATAGACATTATAATTAAGTATATATTAAAGAACAGTTTATTCATCAATAATTATAGAAAAATTACACTTAAGGTGTTTGTGTTAATTCTAAAGATAATATTATTAAAGTAGAGGAGGAAATATAAATTAATTAATATATGAATATATTTTTTTTTAAAAAAAAAATATAGTAAATAAGAATTTAAATAAATAGGAAATAAAACTAAATATTCTTTACTTTAAATAATTAAGTTTTTAATTTTGATTATAATAAAGAAAGAGAAAAACACAAAATTTTAAAAACGACTGACTACATTTTCTTTTTTAAGGTAAAAAATGGTTAATATAATTTAAATTAATTTATAAAAAAATTCGTATTTTTGTAAAAGAGACAATTGAAGTTATTTTAGAAAAATGCGAGTTTTTAATTTCAATGACTAAAATTTTAGTTATGGATTAATAAAAATACATATAAAAAGATTATTAAAAAATATATAC